TTAAGGGCCCGTGGTGAGGGTCGTGCAAACGAAGTCATTACGTGCGAAGGTTAATGAACAACGTATTGGGTACCGTGCGGAGAGACAGAACAGGGGAGAGGAGGAGAATGCTGTGGGTACCGAGCGAAGGGTGATCAACAACGTTGTGGGTGTCGTGTGTCATCAGGGGATGGGGTGGACGAGAAAAAATTGCAAGGCCTGGGGATGGGGTGAAACGTTCTTGCTGCCAACCATACCTGGGAGTGGCGAGCACACGCCGATCTTTCGATGCTCCGTGTGCGCTGCGTCTTGAACTGTTCTTATGCTGCCACGTGCTCCGCGTGAGGGCGACTGCCCGGTTCGCGGAGGAACGGGACACACGTGTGATTACGGGGCCACTGGCCCCGCTGAGCCCTCTGCTGCGGTGCGTTTCGGGGTGGCGGAACGCAGCGTTGATGACGGTCGTGAGTTCCACGTGTGCGGGGACGGAGCGCGAGCATCGGACAGCCGGCGACGTGTGTTTGTTCCCAGATAGCAGGGGCGGTGCGAGAGCAGGACGACGGACCAGCGATGGTGGTGTTTCACGCGCGAGCAGGGCCAACACTCTTTTGGGTTGTCGTCTACTCCTGGCTCCCAGCGTCATGCAAGAAACGAAAACAAAAATTGAAAACCGCACGGCAAAATGCGGGGGCGGGCCGGGGGAGGAATAGGGTCCAACGGGTTGGACTTTCAGTTGGCCCCTGCCCCCCCCCCCCCCCCGTGTGTGCAGGCCGGTATCGCGAGGCCGGGCTAAAATCCCTGCGCCAGGCCGAGCAAAAATCCCTACTTCAGTTGGGCGGCCGGCCTTGTACAGGGATTTTGGCCCGGGCTCGCGCTACCGGCCTGCACATCCGTTGGGGGGGGGGGAGACGGGCTAGGGGCCAACTGAAAGCCCAACCCGTTGGACCCTATTCCTCCCCCGGCTTGCCCCCGCCCCCCCAAATTTTGCCGCGCGGTTTTCAATTTTTCTTTTCGTTTCTTGCATGACGCTGGGAGCCAGGAGTAGACGACACCCGAAAAGAGTGCTGGCCCTGCTCGCGCGGGAAACACCGCCATCGCTGGCCCGTCGTCCTGCTCGCGCACCACCCCTGCTATCRGGAAACACCGCCATCGCTGGCCCGTCGCCCTGCTCGCACAGCGTTGTTGATTGGCCTTCCGCCTGGTTGGGGGATGCGCAAGGGCCAGTTGCCTGCGCCGACATTCTGCGACTCGTGGCCCAGCGACACCGCCAAGGTGCGCTCTGGACGCCGAGTGCTGATTGGTGATCTGGGGAACATGGATAGGTTCCCTGCTGGCGCGACACGTTACGGCTGACGCGTGGACGTCTTGTTCA